TCTATTCTATTCTATTCTATTCTATTCTATTCTATTCTGATATTCTAGTCTATTCCTATTCCTATTCCTATTCCTATTTCTCTTCTCTTCTCTTCTCGTCTCGTCTCGTCTCTTCTCTTCTCTTCTCTTCTCTTCTCTATTCTATTCTATTCTATTCTATTCTATTCTATTCTCTATTCCTATTCCTATTCCTATTCTATTCTATTCTATTCTATTCTATTCTATTCTATTCTATTTCCACTTCCACTTCCACTCCACTCCAATTGGAAGCCGGAGCCCTCGGGCAGGCCTGGACAAGGCAGGGGCTGTGCCCGCCGGCTGGGTACTCACTCAGTTTCCTCCACGGCGACCGGGCACTTATACTGGGCAGTGTTGAACAGGCAGATGTCCGCATACTGGCGAACTGGAAAGCAAGCAGGAAGAGAGAGAGAGAGACACACAAACCTTTGGGGGGGGGGCCGAGGGGTTCTGGGCCAGCTGACTGAGCAATGTCCACGGAGCTACCCTGAGCTATCAGGGAGGGGTGGTCAAAAAAGGCAAGATGGCAGCCTCGGTGATGTCATGGAAGTGCCCTTTGTTTTGAAAGAAAAATGGACGGAGCTTTGATTGCACCACTGTCTTATTTGCCTTATTTGGCCATACCCCAAGGACACCCCTCCTGGGACCAACGTCCTGAACCTCAGGAGATGAAGAATTTAAATGATGTAACATGAAAAATGGAGGGAGGAGATGAAAGAAAATATGGAATCAAATGGAAATCAAATTACTTTTGTAACAGGAGGAGAGGAGAGGAGAAGGAGAGAGGGAAGGAAGGAAAGGGAGGGGGAGGGAGGGAAGGGAAAGATAAAAGGGATAGAAAGGGTGGGGAGGGGAGGAAGAAAGGAAAGGAGAGAGGGAAGGGAAGGGTAGGGAAGAGGAGAAGAGAAGAGAGGAAGGAGAAAAGAGAAGAGAAGAGAGAAGAATGGCAAAGAAAAAAGAATAGAAGAGAGGAGAAGAGAAGAGAGAAGGATGGAGAAGAGAAGAATGGAGACGAGAAGAGAAGAGAAGAGAAGAGAAGAGAAGAGAAGAGAGAAGGATGGAGAAGAGAAAGAGAATAAAAAGAGAAGGATGGAGAAGAGAAGAGAAGAGAAGAGAGAAGAATGGAGAAGAGAAGAGGAGAGAGAAGAATGGAGAAGAGAAGAATAAAAAGGGAAGAGAAGAGAGAAGAATGGAGAAGAAGGAGAATAGAAAAAGAGAGAATAGAGTAGAATAAAATACAATAGAGAAGAGAAGATAGAAGGATGGAGAAGAGAAGAGAAGAGAAGAGAAGAGAAGAGAAGAGAAGAGAAGA